GTTTTGATTTCGTTCAAAAAATATAATATGTCCGTTTTGACGAAATGGCTGTTATATATATTTGACGATATATATATATCGTCACAAACAGAACTGCCCGGTAAAACCGTAGGCAGAGAGAGAGAAGAGGACAACAAACGAGGGGCTATATATATATATATATCGTCAAATAGAACTGCCCGGTAAACCGTAGGCAGAGAGGGAGAAGAGGACAACAAACGAGGGGCTGTGACAAACTGTTTCGTCGGAGTTTCACCGACTCAATATGCGGACGGTTGGGGTATTTCGTTTTGCGGACCTACTGTATGGTTCCGTTTTTTTCACAATGGATATGGTAGGATTTGTTTTGGTAACTTTGTCTGCGTCTCCGTTGGTTTTGTCCCGTTGTTCGGTCTATTTTGGGATGCGTAGCGGTGCTTTCATGTGGGACTAGTCATCCGTTTTTTTTTTTTCTTGGCATCCTAGTTCGTTGATTCCTGTTGTTCGGCCTGTGTATTTGGGGGCGGTGCTTTCATGTGGGAATCGTCATCTGGGATCTTTGCTTTGTATGGATCTGTCTTTTTATTATGGCTATGGTAGATTTGGTAAATTTGGCACCCTTGTCTGCATCCCGGTTGGTTTCGTCCCGTTGTTCAGCTTACGGTAGGTAGGGTGAACATGGCGGTGATTTCATGTGGGACCTTATGACGAACCACTTTCTGTAACGCACAATTTTTTGCGCGGTTGCAATGAGGGGTCCCAAGCTGGGAAGATAAGGCCAATTACGGGAAATCGGGGTTGCATCAGTGTCCTCGCTTTTTCATCCTTTTTTTCCTCACTTCTTTTTCAAAATGGCCGGGCACGGGGTCGGGTGTGTCTTGGGACAGCCGGTTGATTGATTGATCGGATGGTTGTCTGGCGCGACGCCACGCGCGCGCGCGATTAATAAATGTTGACGTCATTTTTTCATCTTTTGGGCACGGACATCGCGCGGGAAATTGCTTCGTTCTTTTTAAATTTCCTCTTGGATATTTTTCGAATTTTGTCGAGCCCCCAATGGCTCTCGGAATTTCAAATTTTCCTTCTGAAGCTTGTGCTTTTCGCTTTTTCGTATTAGAGAGGAATTTAGGAATTTAGTAATTAGGATTTTTCCTGCCGCGCGACGCCTTTTGTCTACGCGCTTTTTCGTGCGGACGCAACGGTACCTTTATTAGTGGGCGCCCTTAATCGTGTGTGTAACTGTAATTTTGGGTGGGCGCCATTGTAACTGTCTCTCTCTTCTTGCACTACGTCTATCCCACCCTCCCTCTCTTTCTTTTGCTGAAATTTTCGTAAGCCACGGTTTGCATGATCGGATCGATGCGTGGAGAAGGGTCCCGTCCCCCACGCCGCGGCCGATCATGCAGAACGCAGGCTTCCTTTCTCTAATCCTCACTCTAAGTCCGAGTAACTCCGTGTTCTTCGCGCATGCACGCACGCTATAAATTTCGGCTGCGCGATTAGTCAGCTCTCTTAACCCGTTGTTGGAAGCTCGGGGTTGCGCGATCAGGAAGGGTCGGCACACGAGCGAAGTAAGAGGTGAGTAGAGTTGGAGTTGGGCGASCCGACGGGCTGGTGCCAAACGCGCGGGATTGACGTGGGCCACGACGGACTGTGGGCACGGGCAAATCCGACGGGTGCGGGAGGACTAAGCGGGGTGACAACTTCGTGGGTTGGTGCGTGACGACGGACTGTCCGCATCGGAGAGAGAGAGAGAGAGGAGAAGAGAGTTGAGGTTGATGGACGTGGATTTACTGTTTCTTTGTCTCATCTCCCTCTTCATCTGTGTACATATATTTTGATTGCGGCTCCGGGCGGTTTGCCCGTTCTTATCTTCGCTTCGGCTTTTTGGAATCTGGACTTGGGGTTTTTGCTCACACTTGTCCTTGCGATTGCAGTATGTGTGTGATTGTCGAATGTATAGATGCATGAATGTTATGCTTGCTTGCCTACCTCTTTTGCGGAGAATCCCTGCCCTTGCTTTTTGTTTGTGCCAAATCTTTGCTTGCACCGGATGCAGCGATAGATGGGATAAGAATCTGGGCCTGATGTCGATTTCGTCCTCGTTGTTGCTTATCCCATGATGAGGTTGTGGTATGATTGCATCTTGCATAACCGAGACTTACGAAGCAATTAGGCGATCCGAAGTCCGGCCCTGCGAGCGCCGCACGAGAACACGTGTAAACGCGATCCGAGTCGCGCCCTTACACGCATTCCCGTGCGTTGACTCGCTCACCCCGAAAGGAGTCACGACGGAACCATCATCCCGTACGAACACGCTGAGGCGCCACTGAGTCGGCCTGTCCTACACGTGGTCGTGCGCGGTGACGATAGCCCGACCCGCGCTATCCCATCGGCAATGATGCCATGACGCGATCTTGGGGTTCAGACTCGTCCTATGACCCGAACTATTTCACCCCTATAATAAACGAGCTCATAAGGACCCGATACCCTTGTCACACGGAGAATCGGCTATGTCCGCGGAAATTCCACTGTGCCACCACTAGCGACCCTCGGTGCTCCGATTTCCCTTCCCCCGACCACACCTACTACTTCACCCACCTGGGATTCGTTGAGATCACCACCAGTTTCCCTCCTTTCCGCCTCCTCCCGTATCATCAATTCAGTGTCGTTCCGTGGCCGGTCATAGCCCCCTATTGGCCCAACACGTTTTGTGTAAACTACCGACGCAACAGCTCACACAGAACCCTGAAATTCCGAAGGCCCAACCCAACTACGCGGCGGCCTGCGCCACGTGGCGGCCCCCGACGGCTTAACTTTTCAGGACCATCTCCACCCCGGAGGAATTTTCCCGTAACCCGTGGCTCGCAGGGTCCCGGCCCCTTCAGACTGTGAGGCCCTTGCGCGTGTACCCCCCCCCCGTTCGCCTAATTGCGTTCATACCCCTAAGACTCCCCCACTTCCCCCAAAAATCCTTGGCACACCCCTTTTCGCACTTCCGGGCCCACACTCCACTCCGATCAGGAAGTCGCGCTGGGCGTGAGGTTGGTATCGGAGCCCGACACGTGGCTAGGGTCTTAGGATGGATAGCACGCTAATTAGGCGACCTGGCTAACCGTGGGCGACCTCGCCCCCGGAACGCGCATAGACGCGACCCTATCGTTACCCGAAGCAGATCGGCTAACCGACGAGCAGCCAACATGACTGCCAATGTGCAGAACCCGGTTCAGCAACAAAATGCTAACCCAAATCAACCCGCCCCACGTGCACGAGCTCCCATGACGCCACCTGATCTCTATTTGTTTGATCCCGCACACCACCTCGCAGGAGCATGGCTGGCCACACTTAGAGCCCAACAGTAYAYYGAMAACGAAGCACARATCAACATTCCGGYTCGAATGGGWGGAGACGCCCATCATTGGTTTAGTACCTATGTATGGGTGGATCTCCCGACCTTCGAACGGGACTTTATGAACCGATTCGATTATGTCCACCCCGAGAAAGCGTTGTACATGATCAAGGATCGAGTGCAAAAACCGCTCGAATCCGTTGCGGAATATCGAAACCGGTTCTACAGAATGTTCGTAAAAACTAAGCGAGGTGAGCAAGTCGGGAGAGATTTGTTCATTGATGGACTCCGCAGTCGAACGATAAGGGCAAAGTTGCGAAAGCAATTTTCCCCCATCACTCATACGCTACAACAAATTACGGCTGCTGCGGAAGAAACGGAACGGAAGTTCGCGGCGAACTTCCCGGAAGGAGAAGATTACCCTAGAGACGGAGATTCGACCGAGCTCGCTCGAGCCAGAGCAGAGCCGGCTGCTTTACAGAACAAATTTGAAAACATGGGGTTCGTATCAGGACCTGTCACCTATATGGAACAGATAGGCCCCAAACGAGTAATCCTAAGTGAGACTCCGAGCATCTCTGCTGCTATGATCCCCCCGCCACCGGTTGAGGCGCCTGTACGATCAAACGAATCGGCAGCCATTTTCGAACTAACGAAAACCTTGATTAGCTTGATCCAGGAAAGCAAAAAGGAGCAGCGAGAACACAATGCTCGGCTAGAAGCCATGATGAGGAACATGCGACCCATTGCGGTGCGTGCCCCTCCGATGCAGCAAGGATTAGCCCCGGCCCCTGAGCTCGGAGGAGTCGCAAACAATCTGAATGTCTGTTACGTCTGTCATCAACCAGGCCATCTAGCCCGTGATTGCCCCCACCGACCCCCGCAACAGCGAATCGGAGTCGCGCCTATGGCTGCGGCCCCCCTCGCCAACGGACCTGGATGAGTCGGAGCCCTGATAGAAGAAGTAGAAAGTGGGGGAAGTGCCCTAGCTACCACGGAAGAGGCTGCCGAACTGATCCCGCTAGACCAGTATGTGTCGCTGGGATATCCTGGGCTTGGAATGATCGGAACAATCAGACCAGCACCAGAACCAAAGGAGGTGGCGGAGTGGCGACCGTCCCTAGGAGAAATGGAGTCGGGAGGACCCACCTTTGTCACAGGAGAGATCGATGTATTAAACATCATCCGAGCTTTGGACCATCGGATTCCCCTTCCGATTGGTCATCTGCTCTCGATCTCCGAGCAAGCCAACGAGCGAATGTTACAGCATTGTAAAGCGAACCGAAAGCGATTCGCCCTTGCCCGAACCCCGAACGCGAAAGCCAAAAGCCCCGCGACCGAAGAAAACCCTGCAAGTACTTCAGATCCGATACGAGTAGGTTTAATCCAAAAAAATGATCATTTCCTGCGGATTAAACCAATTATGTGGAAATCCGCCGAGTTTGATATAGAAATTTGGGGAATCCCCTACAATGCTATTATAGATTCGGGAGCGGCTGTGTTGGCTATCTCACTGAGGGTGGTCGAAAGGGCAGGTAGGAAAAATGACCTGATCACGCTTTCTGAGAAAGATCAGCTCGTTTCGGCTGACGAAGAAAAAATCAAAACCGTGGGAAGAATGACCAATGTCGCTTTCCGATTGGGTAAAGTGCATGCGCTTAGGGATGTCGTAGTACTAGATGTCAATACGTATGACGTTCTCTTCGGACTTCCCGCTCTTGTGGCGTTACGAGCAAACCTGGACCTCGAACGACGATCGATCGTCCTCCGAAATACATGAGGAAAACCCTACGCTGTGCCCATGCGATTGACCCTTCGCACTACTATTAATGCAGTTCCCCGGGTTTCGCCGATGATGGCAGGGACTCTCAGCATGATCTCCTGGGAGAAATCCGTAGAAGGAGAGTCGTCAACAGATGATGCGGAAAGCAGTGACGAGGATGATCCGGGGATCTTGAAATTAGCACGACAACGTGTTTGTTACCCGCCGTCCAAAACAATAGTGAGGACGATGCAACTAACCAGCCGAAAGATTCGAAGGACCAAGGCGATGATCTTGGGTGAGCCCCTCGTGCAGATTTCAAGGATGGTCGATTCTTTGGAACCCCCTCAAACTCTGTACGAAGGAATCACCCCTCTCCTCGCCCGGTACAGCGACAAAAGGCATTACTGTGACATTACGGCTCTACCCAAGTCCTTACTAACCTCGGCCAAAGAAGTGAGATTGTTACGCTTAGGGGCGGAAGCAAGCTCTCTGGAACCCCCTGGGCGTTTTGAAGCAAAAACCGACGGACTGGGGATAAAGATCGCAACCAAGGAAGTGCCATGACAGGATGTTTGTGACGGGATTACCCCGGAAGGACACGTGGCAATCCGAGAAGAAGATGCTCAGATGATGGCCACGGTGTTCTCCTGGCGATCAGATCATTCATTCATCTCGGTGCCTCCACCTGATTTGGCAAAACAAGCGAACACGAAACAGATTGACGTTCGGATCTGGGGCCAACTTTTTGAACTACGCGTCCCACAATATGTGCCGGATGAAATCCACCGGGTAATTACAGATATTCTTACAGAATATCAAGGAGCGATTAGTGTGTCAGACACTGACATTGGGCTGCCATTAGTAATCCAACACGAAATTCAGACAGGAAATCATTCCCCGATTCATTGCAAACCTTATCGTTATTCCTTGATTGAACGCAAAAAGGCTCTCGAACGAATTCGGGAGTTCGAAGCTAGCGGTTGGATTGAACCCGCTACTGGACCCTGGTCCTTTCTTGTAGTGTTACTACCGAAGAAGAACGGAGCGATTCGCATTTGCATTGATTATCGCAAGCTGAATGAAATCACGATCAAAGATGTGTATCCCCTCCCCCGGATTGATGATCTGTTGGATGCGATTCGATGCGCTAATTATTTCAGCAAGTTTGATATTCGGCATGGTTTCCATCATATTCTGGTAAGGGAAGAGGATCGGCCGAAAACGGCCTTTGTGTTGTTTGAGGGCACGTGGCAGTGGGTTTGGTGTTCGATGGGGATTTGCAATGCGCCTGCCACATTTCAGCGAGCGATGAACATGACGTTCCAGAACTTTGTCAGCAAGACACGGCTGACGCAAGGAATGATTAACTTTTGTGTGATCGTGTACATGGACGACATCCTGGTCTATTCGAAAACCTATCACGGGCACGCGCAACACATCGAATGGACATTCAATTTGGGTGCATTGAGAGACGCTGGGTTCAAGATTGCGCTTGAGAAGAGCGAATTTTTCCTCTCGGAAATTTCGTTCTTGGGCTATGTCGTGACACGTGGAGGATTGCGGCCAGATTCGAGAAAAGTCGCGGTGGTGAAGGAAGCTCCGGTTCCTACGTCACTGACGCAGGTTCGAGCCTTCTTGGGACTGGCGTCGTACTACCGACGCTTCATCAAGGGCTTTGCCGCGATTGCACGACCACTAACGAACCTGTTACGAAAGGACCAGCCTCTCAGCTGGGACGCGGAGTGCCAACAGGCCTTTGCAACCCTCAAGGACGCTCTGGCAACGACCCCTATTTTGATTCGACCGGACCCCTCGAAGTAGTTCATTCTCATCACGGACTGGCAACCGGAAGCTATTTCCACTATTCTAGCGCAGAAGGGGAACAATGGCCGGGAACACGTCATCGAGTACGTGTCACGATCCGTGCCGGACGAACGAAGGAACGACTCAGCGCCCCAAGGCGAATGCTATGCAGTGGTCAGGGGAATCCAGCACTTCCATTCGTATCTCTACGGACAAAAGTTTCACCTCGTGACGGATCACGAGCCTCTGCTAGCGCTGAAGAAACTCACCAACTACACGGGCATGATTGGCCGTTGGGCGGTGCGACTACAAGAATACGACTTCGATGTCGTCCATCGAAAGACAGAGCGACACGGCAACACGGACGGGCTGACACGTCTGAATCGACCTGCCAAGGTACCAAAGGGCGAGGAAATTACACCGTGGAAAGAGTCGGACTTTACCAACGAGCCGAAGTACGGACAAGTGGCAGTTCTCCCACGTGGCAAGAAGCAAAACGGTGGCGATGGGTGATGGAGGTAACCCCACTACCCCTCTTTCTCCGCCTTCCTCCTCGTCTCTCCTCTCCCTGCCTGACAAATTTTGCTATTTTTGCGAAGCCATCTCCCTCGTCTATTCGGTCTCCATGCGTCCTAGCGGGGTAGGATATGCGGATTGGATAGATTGCCGACAGTGTGTTGCACGGGCCCATGGCTCGTGCATCCAATACAGGAACGATAGTTGTGCCCCTTGTGCCGGACCAACAAAATTCTGACCGAGGCTCGCTTTTTGGATGCCACGTCAGAAGGATTGGAAAAGACCTGAAAGTTTAGAAGGGTCGAAGTATGGACGGATATTGCCTTAATTGCCACCCTAGTAAGTAACCCCCTCCAGGATTTCACCAAGGAAGATCGGAGGAGGGCCAACGAAAGGGCTCGGGATTATCGATGGATAGAGGGTAGATCAGAAAAATGGAAAACGGACGGCAGTGGGATTTGGATGGTGGTGCCGCATCCGTTCATGCGGTATGACAGGGTTAAGAGAGCCCACGAGGAAACTGCGGCTCATTTTGCTGTACGAATCACAGAGTCCGCTATCGACAAAAATGAGTGGTACTGGTCCAATATCCGTAATGATGTGAAGTACATCGTCGCCACCTTTCAAGTCTGCGCCGCTGATAAAGCGCCGATTCAGCCACCAAGGTCGATAGTGCCCACGGTTGTTGAACGGCCATTTCAGAGAGTAAGCATGGACACTACCGACATAGTGGTGCCCCCTGGCCCTAATAGTTGCGAATATTCAGTCCTATTGGTATTTGTCGACCATTTCACGAAATGGATCGAAGCGTATCCTTCTCGCACGCGGCAAGCCACGAAAATCGCACGATATGTCAACCATTTCCTCGGGATGCATCAGGATACAGAAGAAATCCTGACCGATAACGGGGCTGAATTCAGGGGAGAAGTGTTAAGGAATTTGGTCCTACATGGCGTCGCCATACGGAACACTGCACGCCACATGTCACAATCCAATGGGCTGGTCGAAAACGCTAACCGGATGATAAAGACAGCGTTGCGACGAAACATCGAGGCACGGGATCCGAGACCCTGGACCGATATCGTCGATCACATCCTGGCGGTCCATCGAGGAACGCCCCACGAATCGACGGGGCTGAGCCCCTTCCAATTAAGGACCAATAGTGTAGCTTGCGTTTCGATACCAAGCCTCCCGATGAGTCTACATTGAACCGACGGCCCACAAGGGCTACGGCTCGGGACAAGGCCAAATGGCACCTAGAGTTAATGGAACGGTCGCTGCCCAGGCTTAGCCCGAAAGCGACAAAAAATGACCGAACTAGCCCAGGGCCGACAGGTCCGGAGCTACAAGGCCCGAAATGGGAATGCGGGTCCGCGGCCCCAATACAAATTGGGGGACGTGGTGCAGGTGAGGAAATGTGCTCGCCAAGGTAAGCTCGCACCACGATTCTTCGGGCGATATCGCGTGATCGAGCCCGGCCCCAACGGCGTGGACACCGTGCGTCTCGCCCCTGAAGTCTCTGGCAGTCGATCGGCTCGTCCGATCACACGCCACGTGTCCTATCTTCACCTCCTTCCCTCTGCTCCGTCTCCCTCTCCCTCGATCTCTCTTTCTGAGGAAGCCGATAACGACGGCTCGGACTCTTTGCCATCTCCCTCCCTTTCTTGCTCCCTCTCTGCCACCCCGTCACCTCCGCCATCGCCATGAGTTCCGCCATCGAGCGAGCTTTCAGTGATCAGTTGCTGATGCCACGGGGAGAGATCTCATCCATCCGCCAAGTGCATCATCTGCGGATCAGCCCCGACTTCATGCGCCTTGCGCAGTTCTTCTGCACTGCAGGTGTATACGGCGCGACAGAGTTCCGATTCACGAGCAATCCCGAGGTAGTGGTGCTGGCCGAGGCAACGGCGTTCCAACGGCGAGCGGCCCCGGGAATCAGCCACGTGTCTACCGTGGTAGTCTTCAGCGGCGGCATCACGGCCTTTGATCCGGCGCGGCAAGCCGCCATCAAAAGCACCTTGTACCGGTGGGGTCGCGATCTGGCCGTTGATTGGGATCGATGGCTCACAAGGCACGGTGACGAGTGCTATCCTATGGACGACATTGAAGTCAACACGCTGCGCACAACGCTACGCAAGCCACCTGTCGTCCTCCCAGAACTTGCTCCCTTCCAGCCGCGCAGAAGAGCCGCGCGCCGATCTCGACGTTCTCTCCTCCCTCTCTCTTCCCCATCTTCTGGCAGTCCTCTCACTACCCTCGTCTCTCCTTCCGCCTGGAGCCACTGACAGTACCCATCGTTGATCCGGACCGTTGGAGGCTGTGGCGTGCAGAATTTGTCGAGCTCTCGTTTTGCTCGCTACGAGTGGATTTGAACTGGACGTGGGAAGGCGATCAGAGGCCCGCGTCGGAGATTGTGGAGTTGCTCGTCATTCAGGCGTGGAGGACCAACGTGGCGGGAGATCTTCTGGGATTCGTCTTTGGAGCAGTGGATTGGGGAAACYGATCACAGATCGTGCGCGAACTTACGATCGTGATCGCGCGATTGGCCGACGAACTCCCTCTCGACATCGTCTCTCAGAGCGACGAAGAACCCGTGCCACATACCCTCTCAAGGACTCTCGCCCAAGAACCCGTGCCACATACCCTCTCAAGGACTCTCGCCCCGAGCCTCCAGTGGTCGGCTTGTATCGAGGAGCGTTGGGCGGACGACCGTTTTCCCTCCCGTAGCGAGTACCTGGACGTCCACAGCCTG